AGAATGAAAAAGAGAGAGAATTTAAACAAAACAACTCTCTCTCACAGCAGACAGGCTCGACACAGGTGCGAACTGGCGCGTGCTAGCACTATCACAGGCACACAAGAGAGAAGAAAAATCGAGCTGGTTGGCGTCGTGATTGTTTGGTCATCTGAACGATAAAGGGCTCGGCGCGGCGGCCGAGCCTCCGCCTACTCGGCGGCCATGCTGGCCCCGGATCTGCCTCGCCTCGTGCTGCTGCACAGCACTCACAGCCACGCTCATCACGCTCGTCCTCTTTCGTGAGGTACTCTGGCCACCCGACAACTCGCGCTTTTATTACCTGCGGCCGCCCCTAGCATCACTTCACCTCGAAATCGACATGTCACCACATGGTCGTTATGTAAAAGCGCCCCACTATCGTGTGTGAGTTTGACCGTTCTTTTTTGACCCTTTTTTATACCGCGGTAAAGCCGTACCGCGCTTCGTTCCAATCTCCAATCAAAATCGCGACACGTCTCTCTCTCTGAACAGAAGCTCTTCGATCATGCGAGCTCAATAGACTGGTCTTCAACGCGCGCGACTCTGCAGAGACGCTCGGCTGGGTCAGACCATCCCTGGTGTGGACGGTTTTTTTCCGGTATCCGCGGCGGGATATGGCGGGATATGGCGGGATACCGGGAGATACCGGGAGATACCAGAGATACACGAAGATATGATGAGATACGGAGCCCCCATGATGGTGTTCACGACAACGTCCGTGAAGCGTGAAACCGCAAATCGGACGACGCGACGGGCGAAACCTCGCGCTTCGACCGGCCGTGCGGCTAAGTTCCCATGATTGGCGAGAGCTCGTCATCTCATCGATAAAGCATCGCAAGGGTGCACGTGTCAGCTCGCGTGTCAGCTCGTGTGCCTTCTTCAAAGACACTGCCCTTTTCGAAGCACAACGGGTCTAACACACTTTCTTTTTTGTTTGCTCGCGCTCTGCCGAGAGGGCTGCTCGGCGCGGCCCCCGGTTCGAAACCTGGTCGACCCTTATATTTTTCGGGCTCAATTTTGCTCTAGGTGCCTCCTACGATTCGATCCCGCGTTCTCAGGCAGTCGCCTGGTGCGTTGTTCGTTTTCGTCACGGGAGGCCCGACATTAGCAGATTAGCTGGCGTTTGACACGCGAAACAAAGTTCTCCAACCACCCACGTGAGGCCAGGCGACACATCCTCCCCTCTGCCCCCCACCCCAGAGAGTGAGATATAGATTAAGAGAGAGAGAGAGAGAGAGTGTGTGTGTGTGTGTGTGGAGAGAGAGAGAGAGAGAGAGAGAGA